CCTGTAGTAACCGTATCTTTGGCACAAATTTAAAAAATTAAAAACTACCACAGCTTTTTTCTCTATTCAAGAAAAAATTATAATTAAAGAAAACTTGTTAAATTAATGAGGGTGCTTCCCCATGACGGTCAAAATTTCAGAAAACTGAATCTCGGAAAATAATACGACTACTCAGATTAGCACATTACACAAACACGCTAAATTTTAACAATTCTGATTGACTGTACTTTTCCTGGATTGCGTTTTCCAAAATTTCGACCATCACGTAGAGGTATCCTAATACTACTTAATTTCATTTTTCTTGAATATGTACTTCGATAATCTTACAATAAATACTAATTCTAATAATTAATTCGTTATTATATATGTATATATATTGCAATAATAAATCAGACGGAACAAAAGCCAATCTTCTCGCAACTTAAAACTTATCCAGTAATTTATCCATCATACGTTCGTGAGAAGTAATACTTTGTCGAAAAAGTTCTTGTCTTTGTTCATGCCTGGCCTTTTTCGCTTCTTCTTTTTCTTCAAGTATTATTTTCAGATCGCTAAGAGTTATTGCACTCGCTCTCTTTCGCTGTTTCTTGTCACAATCTTTTACATCACTGAATTCCTCCTGCGTAACTGTAAAATAGCAATATAATAAATAAAAAGAAATTCTTAACACATTCATAAAATAATAATATTTATATCATACCTTTAAATTTATTACCATTTCCTGATGAACTAGCTATAGCGACAGGAATAACATTGGGCTTATTTCCAAACAGTTCGTCAAGTTCGTCAAAGTTATCACATTTTAACGGTGCTGCACCAGTACTTTTAGGACCCATGTTATCTATTTTTTTGGAGTACTTCTTTTTCATATATTTCATTTTTTCTTTGCATTGTATTGCAGCAAAATTGTAGCCTTCACATTTCATATCACAAGCAATTTTAGTCCAAACATCATCTTTTTTTATGATATTGGAATCAAAATCACATTTGACATTTGTACTTTTTGTATAAGTGTAGAAGCATTGCTCTACTTTTGTCCGTCCACATGTTTTTCATTTCTTTATTCAAAGTTCTTCCATTACTCTCTTTTAAGATTCTCGGATTCGTGTTCTCAGTTTCTTCTGAATTAGCTGTACAGTCAGATGAATTGGCTATAGCAATCTCTTTTTCAGGTAACAATATCTCGAATCCGTATGGTTTTAGCACATTATCAATAATGTGCTCAGTCAAATGAATAAAATCAATTTTGCCTGCTGTACAATTTATATCATTTAAGAAGGTTATATATATTTGTTGTATTATTTGTGAACATTTTAATAATTAACTTAGACTTTCTATAAAGCTACTTTTAGAAAATAAAAAATAGATCAAAATCTTAAAATTAAAATCTCGTCAGAATTTTTCTTACATGGGAGTTACTATAAAAAATCTAACGAAATTCCAGTGATAGCTCAACAAAACAAATCTATTCATGTATACCTTTGAACTTTTACAACAATCTCATGGTTGAACGTGTAGAAATATGCAAATTTATGTGTTGAAATTTACAATAATATCACATGTATATACTAAAAATGACACAAACGTTTACATTTTAATGTTTTATATTAATTTAATAAAAGCATATTACATTGATACACAACGAATCAGTGTTGGCTCTTAAAGTATTTAATTTTAAATGATTTATATATATATATCGTTAGAGCTTTATCTAACTTTAAAGAAATAGATATATTAAAAAAAAAAAAACGCGTTGCTAAGTGCAATTTATGTCTATTGAGATATGATGGCGATCCCAGATGCATGTGCAAAAGCGAGACATAAGACGTCTTAAAGACGTCAAAGAGATATCTTAAACATGGGATATAAAACACATCTTCAAGATGTTTTATATCCCAAATTTAGACTTTGTTTGGGGATATAACCTTTAAATACTTTATAGATAACTTACTTATTTTATCGTGTAATAAAACTTTTGACATATCTGCCGTGTCAAAAATTGGGGCTCCATCGGCACCTTCTATAACTTTATAAATATGATGAGATTGTGACATTTTAGATATTGATGACAATATTATGAAAGATAAAGTTCGTATCGTTGTATAGCGGTAACCTACGAGTCTTACAAAACTGAGGTAGAATTTCACGTATAATGTGAAAAATGCGTTTCTGCGCATGACGAGTAAACTCTACCCCAGTCCCGAGCAGGGTATGTTGAGGAATGCCCTGAGTAATCCTTGGAAAGCTTTGTGAACGTTTTCGGATAAAGGTAATTTTTCCATTTTCGACTTTCTGAACGGGGTCAGAGACACTTTTACCCTATGGGTAACGTTTACGAACGCAGCCTAAGTATTATATGATTCACAGATATGACTTAAGATAAACTTGTCGAAGAACTTCTTGCCTAAGAAATTCTTATTCTATTTGAGACTTTCTTCTCCAATACGTGCTTAAGATACTTGTTGGCTGCGTTCAGTAGAGAAAGCAGCTTTGCAACTGTTGTAAAATTCTTTAATATGATTGGTCTTGCCTTTAGTTCCTCACTAGATCTAAATGTATAAACCAATTATATTTAAGAATTTTACAACAGTTGCAAAGCTGCTTTCTCTACTGAATGCAGCCATTGACTATTCGGCTATTTCCGTATACTTCTGTTAGAACCAACCAATAAGAGGCGGTATTTTCAGCAGCACCATTGGCTAATAGCGTATTTCACTGACAGAGCTGGTGCGCACTCAGTGCACTTTAAAGTTGTTGTACACAAATCGACATAAAAATGTATGTTTAATAAAAATATAGAAATAAATTAAACCACGAAATCCTTAATACATTTTATTGTGATATTTGATAAAATATATATTGGGTATTTTATTAACTGAGATCTCTCACTTTTACAGTCAGATTAGGTTAATGTACAACAGCTTTAATGTGCACTGAGTGCGGACCGGTTCTGCCAGTGAAATACGCTATAAGTTTCCACCGAGGGTTTAAACCGGATCAGAACGTAAGAACCAACCAACTACAGTCGAGCATTTCCCTGTCGTTCGACTGTAACAGGGGAATATTAATGGCGGTGGAAACTAATGGCGAATTCGATTGGAAGTACTAGTGCGCACTGGTGCATATTAAAGCCGTTGTACACTGACTTAATTTAAGTATAAAAATGAAATTCAAATATTTCGAATTATGAAATACATATTTTATCTAAGAGTACAATAAAATGTATTGAGTATTTTACGATTTAGTCGATTTCTATGTTTATTTATAAACATATTTTCACGTTATTTTGTGACAATAGACTCACGCGTTCGGTATTATACCTCTGATTAAAAGAATAATTCGTAAAGAATATCGATTTCAAAAAATATTATTAACATGCAAAGTTGTAAAAGTATGAAAATGTCAAAATCAAAACACTATAGCGCAGTCGAGAAAAAAATCTTTTTGGAAATATTAAAACATTTCAAGTATGTTATAGAGGTTAAGAAAAGTGATAGCTCAACACTTCATGATAAAGAAGTTGCATGGTCGGAAATTTGCAAACGATACAATGACAGTGATTTTGCAAGAGGTAAAGATCAAAAGATTGTTTTATATTACATGAATCTCTATTTAATATGGATATATATATATATGTGTAAAGTACACATATAGAAATAGGTTAAGTTTCACATGTTTTATTTTTACATATAGCGTATAGTACAACTAAAAAAACTGTGGGCAAATTTAAAACAAAGTCAATGAGAAATATTGACAAAAGAGAAACAAGCTCATCTAAGTACTGGTGGCGGCCCACCTCTTGCAGAGATAAATATTGACTCTGATATAGCTCTAATAACATCACATCTTATGGAAACAGAGTTATAAAATTGATTCCCACCTAAAACTTGATTTTAGATTGAGGTAGACACAGATTTCGGAATGGCTCGGAGAAGTTCGAATTATGCCGGATTAAATTTCTATCCGAGATTTTCACCAGGGTATATTATGGTCCACATTCTGAATCCTCTTTTATCAATAAAAGCACTTTCATTGATAAAAGGATACCCAAAGGTCGTAATAATTTTTATTTCACTTCTTTTTTTATGACATTAACTTTGGTTTTTTATATTTTGATTTCACTTCTTTTTTTATGGCATTAATACACTTTACGCTTTTTTTTTACATATTTAATGTCTTTTTTTCAGTGGATATAATTTATTTATATAGTCTTTCAATAAGCGCTGCTCTTATCGCAAAACCTTCACCTGGTTGCCAATGTGGTTCATTTTCTGATACATCTATTTCGTTATATTCTACTTCTTCTTCCAAAATATCATTAAACGTTAATGACAAATTATGTAACACAGCACAAGCAACTACAATTGTAGTTGAACAAATCAACTTGTTGCTTAACCCTCTTGATAGACATGGAAATCTACGCTTCCAAATTCCAAACGTTCTTTTAACAACTTGATGTGTTCTTCTATGAAGTACGTTGTAACTGTAATAAAAAAATATATTTTAATTACTAAATTTGTAAACACTACATCACAGCTGTATTTTTAGAATATTTTTAAAATTAAATAAAAAGATAAGAAACGGGTTACGAGCCAAATGATCTTTAATTTTCAAACGAAAACTAACATAAAAACTATGATAATCAATACTAAACAATAAATAATATAATTAAGCCTCCTTATGATCCCATCAAGGTTTGAAACGCTTAATTATATTGTTTATTATTGTGAGTATTGATTATCATATTGTCAATTTTTATGTTATTTTTCGTTTGAATATTAATAATCGTTTGGCTCATAGTCCGTTTATTGTTTTATTTAATTTTATCATTTGAGCCAAAATATTAATTTATAATTTATTTTTAAAACACTTGACAGTATAATTTTTAACAATATTTGTATTAGCAATTAAAATTTTGAAATAATAAATTAAAGATATAATACTAACGCAATTTCCTCATCTGTTTCTGGATTTTGAATTGGAGTTAAAAGAAATGGTAGACACGGATACCCAGCATCTCCAACGAGAGTTCCTGTTAACTGTCGTTGAACGTATCGCATGTATATTCTAGAGTTTTGGAAAATTCGACTGTCATGTTGGCCACCCGGGCATTCTGGAACAATATCCAGAAATTCTGTTCTAGGGCCTACAACAGCCTGTATACGAAAAAAGACAAAATGACTCTATATTAATATTTATAACAAAATATGTATATAATGTAAATATAATATAACATTATATTTTACATTGATAATATTATATTAACGTCAATTATATAATATATGATGACCAATAACTATATTTTTTTATTTATAGCATACAATAACTCTATTTAAATCTTTATATACATACCTGTACATTTAATGAAAAATATCCTTTTCGATTTCTATAAATTTCTTCTGTATTATGGAATCTTGTACCAATTAAGCGTATATACGTGCAATCAATTGCTCCTTCAATACCAGGTAAACCAATACCTCTATTACCACATCCGATATCTTTAAAAAGTCTTTGATTCTCTCGTATGGCATCTGACGAAGAAGGCATTTTTACAAATCGGTTTAAGAGTCTTGCTAAAAGTAGAGATACTCGAAAAACTGTTCTTGAAACAGTTGACTGTGAGACGATCATGGTATTTCCAAGTACTTGCTACAAAAATTAAACTATATTAATAATATAATATTGTAACATAGATGTATAAAACAAACATTCTCTGAAATATAATTAAAGATGCTTTTTTAATGTATTTTTACTTTATATATTTTATTATTTGAATTACATACTTGAAAACTTCCTGTTGCATAGAAATGTAGACAAATTAACAATTGATACAATGGAGGAATGGGAAGACCACGGTTATTATTACATATAAGTTCATTTTCTATTAGAGGTAGAATTCCATTTAGAATAGAATCTTTATTAAATCGGAAACGTCTTTTGAATTCTCGATTGTTATACATTTCAAACGGATTGATCCAGTCTCTTATGTATCTTTTTGGAGCTCGCATATAACCTTCATCATCGCTTATAGAATCATCATCAACTTCTTCTAAATCAATATTTCTTATATCTTCTATTTCCATTTTAAATAGAAATAAAACTTTTCACATCAACATTTGAAATAACAAAGTGTGTCACTTTAAAAACTTTAAACTGAGTACTGTGTGTGTGTGGTAAATCAGACAAGATTAACTTAAGTCTACTATTAACTTGACTTGGATTTTTCCTAGAGAAATACTTAAGATCATCTTAGATGACTGTGAATTCGACAGTAATAAGACTATCTTAAGATCATGCTTATGTGAAATAAGATGTATTTATGAGTCTTATTGAAACGCTTAAGATTATCTTCAAATAAGATAGACTTCCATAAGTCACAGCTTGAACTTATTTCTTAAGTTCCACCTTATTTCTTGTCTGTGAATCTAAAAGACATCTTAAGATCGAATCTTAAGGCGATCTTAAATATAAGAAACGACTATGAATACCGCCCTAAAACTATCCAAATAATATGAAAACCAAGCGCAAAGTGGAATCAGTATAAAATAGAATCGTGTTGGATATACCTGATGTGATATACATGGTCGCTAAGTGTAATATACAAATTAAAATTGAATTGTGTCAAGTATAAAAAATTGAGTTATGTCAAAAATAATATGATGCAGAATACAAATATATATTTCAAAACCAAGTGATAGTACAATAGCTTAAACTTACATGAGAATAATACGGGGAGATTTAATGCTGCTATGTCAAATTGTGAGAAGTATATTAATACAAGATAAAAATTCATAACTATGTCCGTTGAAAGTTAGAGCAATAATGACGATGGAAAAATAATAAATAAACAAATGTTCTTATACTAATGATAGGTCAAGAAGCAACATAATTTTTCTTGACAATATCATAATAATGGGTGTCAAGAAAGTCTGATTCTATTTGTGGATTTAGCCCGTTAATCTGTTTCTTGATATGAATCGTTTTCGAAATCAAGAGTCTATTAATTTTTTTCCTCGTCCAAGATTACCACATTATTCCAATCAAAATCAATAGACTTGACTACTCACATGATTTTGATTGGAATAATGTTACTTTCTCTAAAAAGAAGAGACAAATCTCTCTTTCTTGTCTTATTACTATATATAATATATATCTCATGCAAATATATATACCCAAATGTTTTTTTTGCAAATGGACAATGTTAAACAGACATATTCCATATCAAATGTTTACCTGGAAAAACTTTCTCTTTATTTTTCTTTTTCTTCTCGTCATTCTCATTTTTTTCATCAGAACTATCATAGTTCTCTAAGCTATTGTTGCCATCTTGAGCAGCTTCATCTTTGTTACTGATTCGTCTGTTAATATTAAAAACAATATCAAAATTAACAAACATCAATATTAATAAACACATATAATAATGTTTAAAAAACTTTTTATGAATGCTGCCTCATGCGCATGCCACACACACACACACATATGCACACGCGTGCGCGTGCACGCATACACACACACACACAAATTTACAATAAAAATACTATATAACTGAAATGTGTATACCCTGGTAAAAATTTTTCTCAGAATTTTTTAGAACTTCTATATAATTTTTCAGAATATTTATAATTTTATAACTTTCTCACATTTTTTATATGAATTGGAACATTTCTCAGAAAATCTACATCTTTTCTTAGAATTTTTCATATATGTTAATTATGAAATATCATAAGATTTTTAAGATTTTTTGTAAGTATAATTTTTGATAAAATGTTATAAAGGGTGTGTTTTGATATTCACTGCCAGTGCTGAAAATCTATAGCGTACACTATATATTTTCAGCATTGGCAATGAATATCGGAACGCACCCAAAATCTAAAAAATTTAAAAATACTTTTTAAAAATTATGGGATGAGAAATTTCAGAATATTTCAGAATTTACTTGTATGAAAAATTCTGAAAAAAGATGTAAACTTTCCGAATATTTCTGAGTATTTCTGATAAATGTTTCAATTCGTATAAAAATTATGAGAAAAATTTTCATCAGAGTATTTACTTTTTTATACGAAAGTTAGCATGGGCCAGCCATAATCCCGCTTTTCTACCAAATATCACCTTGTTTATTGTTGGAAATTTCTTAGCCACTGCCTCTATAAGAAAAAATATAACATTTTTGAAAGTAAAAAAAAAATAGAAAGTAGATAAAGATAAAAGATACAAAGTAAATCGAAATTTATTTACATTGTTAAAAATGGACTAAAATTAGACTCTCTGCAGCAAAATATACACTCGTGATTCATTGTCCCCTGCAGCGTAGTGGTGGATATCCATCTCAGCTATCATAAAAAGGTTAACTGTAAAATAATATAATCTTACCAATCATTGTCTGGCTTATTTGGCGCTTTGATAACTGTAATTTGGTTCCTCGTTGATTCTTCCAAGTAAACAACCTTGCCAGTTTATCGTCCAGCACAATGCGCAACACGGAATTTACCATTTTTTGAAGAGACTTTCCTTCAATTTGTGAATGTAGAGCGTCGACCTACAAATTGTTCGAATAAAATTACATTGTTCGACAAAAATCGATTTTTTCCTCCCATGAGAAATTCAAAGAGATTCTGAAAATTGATTTAAAAAACATACCCGTCTCACGTTTTACCAGAGCAAGTTGTTTTAATTTTTTAAGTGTCATCGAATATTTTCTTATTAATTATTTTAAGTTACAACCAATTCGGTATCTCTTTGAATTTCTCATGGGAGGGACCTTTATTGTACAGTGTTATAGTCGCTGTAGAGCTTGAGAAAAAAAATTAAGTATCATACCACTGTGGAATTAAATGTTTCCTCTTCTTTTAGTTTGCGCTCAATTGACTTTAGATTGTTCAAATTTGTTACTGGAAAATCAATCAAAACATGTTGAACAGTTGAAGAAGAATTTTCAGTTGTAGGTTGTCTTGCTATCATTTCTGATTCCAAAAAACTTTCCATGTTATTATCGGTCTTGCGTAAGGCTAATTTACATAATATTTCAGCTGAAAATAATGAACAGAATATTATTAAATAAATTAAACAATATAATATAGGGCTAAAAACCAACTCAGGATAATGTGTGAGTAACAATATTATTGTAAGTAATCTAAAAACGTACATGTGCGAACGCCAAAATATAATCTAATAAAGGATAAAAAATTGGGAATATAACGCATTGTGTAAGCCCGCGTATATTAAAATTCAACAAATAATAACAATTCCAATAATTAAATAAATTAAACAATATAATATAAGGCTAAGAACCAACTCAGGATAATGTATGAGTAACAATATTATTGTAAGCAATCTGAATAATTTCCAAAAGTAATTGTAACGGTAACGTGCGTTATAAGTAACGCGTTACTTATCAACCCTAAGAAAATTACATTAAATATAAATCAAAAAAATTACTAACCATTTTTTATAGACGGAGACGGTCGAAGTGATGGTTTGGCTAATAAAGTTTTAATATCATAATGATCAGTACCTCCTTCAGAAACAATTTTTTCATTGTTTGAATCTAAATAAAATAATCAAATGAGAAAATCTTAATTTTCCAATCTTAATAATCAATCATATTAAATTGATTATTAAATTGATTATTAAATTGATTATTAAATTGATTATTGAGATGTATACTTACCATATTCAGATAATGTATTTATTTCCAATTGACTGCTAGAGGCAATAGGTTCACTTTCCTCACTTGTAGGAAGCGAGTTATTAAAACGTTGCTTAGTTCGTAGTGCTGCATCTTTTATAGCAATATTAAAATCTGCTGATCTATCATTACTTTCCTGAAATGTGAGAAAGATAATATCATGAATGATATTATTATTATCATATTTCAGGAAAGAATTTTTAACTGGAAGATTTCCACTCTCATTATTCTTTTTCGGACAATCCTCTTTTTTATTTAAAAGTTCTGTAACCCTTTCTTTAATTTCTTGTGCGTTCAATATTTTATTATCTTTGTCACTGTCGGAATGAATAATTTTTTTCGTCATTTGCTTTGCTTTTTCTGAAGGCTCATCATTTGACTTCTCGTACAAACGTTTGATTTTACGTTTTTTTCGCTTTTCCAAATCAGTTTCTCCTGCTGTTGTGTTAAGATTACTATTGTCGTCGGCTAATTTGCATGCTTTAAGAGCATCACGATAGTTATCTATAAAAATAAGACAGATATGAGCGCAAATCGAATTTATTCTATCAAAACATAATTAAATTTTTTTCGAAATAATTACAGAAATAATATAACTCTACCAATTTTAAAGCAAGTAAATCATTCTGTACTTCTATTAATTTTTTGCTTCCTGTTTAAATAAAAACAGTTATTATTAGAGTCTCTTATTTTACGTGTACATGAAACAAAAACATGGATCATACGTGTACTTAGACACGTGTATATATCATTTACACTTGTATTTCGTGAATATCCATGACGTATAAATGACATACACGTATTTAAGTACACGTATGACCTATGATTTTATGTACACGTGAAATAAGAGGCTCTATCATACACATTACTACGTATTGTCTTATAATACATTCACACACATCTTAATTTTATAGAAACGTAGGAAAAATACAAATCATATATACCATATTCATGCATAACTGTAGCTGGATGATTATTAAACTCAGAAGTAGGTTCTTTCAAACTCATAATAAATCGCGCAATTTTGTGATTACAGAATTTCTTTGATGGCCATTTACATGACAACTTATCTTCATTAATCCATGACGAGGGTACAACCGCCATAATTTCCTCTTTTCCTCTAAATTTCACTACGGCGTACTGTAAAATTAATTAAATGTCATCAACATTTAATATATTAAAAAAATTTAATTAAAACATGATTTAAGTCGTAAAGAACAGAACTTGATAATATGTAATATAGCTGAATGAAGCAATAAAAAAGTTTGATAAATATTTTCAGGAAGATAATTTTTAAATACTTTGATTCTATCATAAAATAAACATCTTCTAAATTCTGTAGCTTTCCACTATGTTCTGTTGTCGCGATTTCCTAGACTTCTAGGTTTACGATTAAACTCTTTAGGACAATACTGAGCTATCTCATTCAAACTGTCATTAATTTTCATTACAGTGCCTTTTGGAAGCATACAGTGCAAGTTCGTTTTTCAATAAGGAAAGATAAAAATCGTTGGAAAACTCCTAAATATATAAGATGCGTATGATCTAATCGAAATTGAGATATCATTCTTGTGTTAATTCTTTCCAGAGGAGAATGCCATTATGATGATCTGGATTTTTAAAACTTTTTTCTTTTAAAACTTTCATTCGTTCGTAATTCGCAAGTGAAATTTTCATATATAATCCTATTTTGAAACCACTTGCCTTTTACTGTACACTTTTCACATGAAGAGTAAGAATTATGTGGTATACACACTGTTTTATAAAACTACGAGCTTGTGCATCTAAGATATAATTTCTAACATAAAATGGAAATGTTGATCCATTACATTCAAAACCATTTTCTATTAGTTCTGCCACCTCGACAATATAATTATGAAGATAAGCTTCTAAATCATTTGGTTTCCCTCTCTACCAAAAAAGATACTTATAATAAATGGATACTTGTCATGTGCAAATTTTCCATTTCCAAGTATCAGCCAAAATTGTTTACTGAAATATTTCTGAAACGGTATCCCATCTATATTTACATCTATGGAAATTTGATTATGAATTGCCAAGTACTGGTGATCTATTCTCTGTTGAATGTTAATACCTCTGTACCATATCTGCCCTGTTCCAACAATTTGTAGAGGAACTTTGCGTGGAATTCTCAGCAAAGTTTTGTACGACTTGGGTAGGAAATGTAAAATAGGTCTAACTAATTTCAAAATATTATTTACTTTTTTTTAGATACATTATAAAGTGCCCGATTTCTGAGTCCCGTCAAAATATATGTTTTCTTCTCTTTTTCATTTTGAAAAACACGAGTTTCAGTTTTTTTTACTTTCAAATTTATTGCAATAAATATTTTCGTAACTGTCATCTGTAGTATACGTATCATTGTCAGAACTCGAATCATACTCAGCAGTATTATTATCGAAAATGTCATTTTTGGTGTTCACAGAACATTGTTCTAGAATAGCATGCTATCATTAGAAGGATGATTGGTTGAAGAGTTTACTTTATCTTCAATAAATTCAAATTTTTGATCAATATCAAATTTAAGCTGATATACATCTGCCTTTCAACGGATAAAAGCTTCATGGATTCTATTTTCCATCTTTATTTTATATTTACATTCAATTTTGTTCTTCAAAAGACTTGACTGCTAGGAGATACAAAACACGAGTATGTTTCGGTTTCTTCTCGTCAATAGAAAATTTTGAAATTATCAGTAAAAAGAAACATAATTTTATTAATATTAACAGTAAGAAGCTAAAATTATAACTCAATACTAATATAACATAAAGGCATGTAGAGTAGTTGCGAGAAAATTACCCCCACTCCTTCTATTTTTTCTGACTTCCGCGGCGTAAATCCCAGCGCGGCATATATACCGGAGTTACCCTACATATGTATACATATACACTTATCAATAATACACATAGAATAAAATTAATATTTTAATATTATTAAAATATCTTTTTATAAAATTTGTTCTTTTCTTTTACAATAAAGTTGTGAATTGTATAACTTATTTTTCTTATACATTATTGACTGCTTTCCTTTTAGAAGACACAGTCGACACAAGTATGATATTCTATCTCTGTTATTCATTGATAGCCTCTGTTATTATTGATAGAGTAATAAGAATAGAACGATGTTTGTGTCGACTGTATCTGCTAAAAGAAAAGCGGTCTTTTTGATAAGATGAATAGTTGGCACTATAACTATTGCAATATCCTCAAAGCACCACGTATAATCGAATACATCGCCGTTGATAATGATTTGAAGTAAGTCGAAACTCATCCGGATACATTGTCACGAATCAAAAGATTGTTGTTATATGTAATGAACTAACGAAGATTATTTTATCATTACATTTGTGCACCTAGTATCGCGTTGACTCTTATTTCCCCATATATATACAGGGTGACCCATTTTAACTTAGACAGCCAAATAACTCGAAATATCGCGATTAAATAAAAAAATGTTTAAAACAAAAATTGTTGGATATGAAGGGGCTGATTGAACTATGACCTTGACAATGACCTTGACCTTCATTTTCAAGGTTATTTGAAGGTCTACTTTCAATTTTCAAATAGAAACCCATATTTTTGATCCCAGATTTTGAAAGAGCGCAAAATTTTACGTCCAGATGAACTTTCATGTTATGGGTCAAAGTTGATCATAGAGGTCATTTCAAAGACAAATTCCTAATCGAAACAGAAAGCCAAAAAATCTTGATTTTTCCCGGATAGTGTTTGTTAAGAATCACTAAAGAATCACAACAAGAAAATACATATGTAGCATAAAATTTTATTAAAAATCCCCACTTGACCTTGAAATGGTCATGAAAATATGGGTTCAAGGACATTGTCAGGGTCATGGTTTGGTCTCCCCTCGACCCAACAATTTTTCTCACAAACACTATCCGGGAAAAATCAAGATTTTTTGGCTTTCTGTTTCGATTAGGAATTTGTCTTTGAAATGACCTCTATGATCAACTTTGACCCATAACATGAAAGTTCATCTGGACGTAAAATTTTGCGCTCTTTCAAAATCCGAGATCAAAAATATGGGTTCCTATTTGAAAATTGAAAGTAGACCTTCAAATAACCTTGAAAATGAAGGTCAAGGTCATTGTCAAGGTCATAGTTCAATCAGCCCCTTCATATTCAACAATTTTTGTTTTAAACATTTTTTTATTTAATCGCGATGTTTCGAGTTATTTGGCTGTCTAAGTTAAAATGGGTCACCCTGTATATATGAAGGAAGCAAACCTACCCTACACAGCAAAAGAAATCTGTGGAATCTCGTCAAGATATCGTGCTGGAATATCGCAATATCTCAAAGATATTCAGTAGACATCTGGATATATGACAAATATCAATAGGATATACTAATGTCCGTACCAAAGAAGGACTGAGATATTTCATGTTTAAGTGAAATATATTCTTACGTTATTCCTGAGATATCCGTGATTATTGTTGCTTATAGTAAAATCTGAAATGTTATCGTAGGTATATTATAAAGATATATTAGAGATAATTATAGTATTTAGTCGGGATATATTTGGGAGAATGTTTTTTATAATTATAATTTACATCGATTATACAGACATATTACGGTAGTATGTAATCTCGAAGATTTCTGGCATGCTAAAACCAAGTCCATAGCTCAAATTGCACCCTTACGTCAAGTTTCTAAAATATTCCAACCTTAAAATTCCAAAAAGGCGTCCAATGTAGAACCAGCTAGCTTTATTTGACTGTTCAGAAATGTACGTGTAAACACATCTTTAAATTATAAAACCTAATTATGAATACCTTAGAACATACTACTGGAAGGAGCATAGGCCCATAATCCCACTCTTTCGGTTGAAGCCAAGAAGATTGACAAGGAGATAGTATGTGCCTAGTCAGCAATGTGCATGCTCAGACCATTCGCACGGGGTCTGCGGGGTGAAGAGAAAAGGCGACAAGCATGCGCATTACAATCTAGGATCACGCATTCTATCTCCATCCTTGTCAATTTTCTCTGCATTCTACCTCCATCCTTGTCAATCTTCTCGGCTTCAACTTTTCGAGCTTATGCTCCTTTCAGTAGTATATGTTCTAAGATAAATACCACCTGAAGAGATAATTTCTTTAATTATGCCCTTATATATGTACGTACATTACAATTACGTACTATTCTATAAGTTTTACATATAAAGAGACATCTTAGAAACGACCGGAATATCTTATCTGCTAGATGTTTTCAGAATGTCTCTGAGATATATTGTACACATTTACTTTGTTCGGGATAAGATATCTCCTGAATATCTTATACAAGAAGTGTATTCATGATATAATCATTATAATGTACTGATGACATCTTAAAGATATTGAGATATATCTCGTATATCCGCGATGATTTTAGTATATCCCATAGATCTCCATTGCTGTGTGGGTGTAATTTACAATTTTTGGGGAATTTCATATCGGTTTGTACTTTTCCAAAGGTATTTGCGTTTTTCTTTTATTTTGGAGAAGGATTTTTTATTCTGTATAAGGAAAACGAAACAATTTGAGAAATACGAAATAACGCTCTGATGGTAATTCCAGCATCCCCTTAATCTTAAATTAGTAATAACAAAGATGTATAAGGTTAATATTTGTATTTCACTTTTCCACTCAGATTAAATAAGTGTATAATATAGTGACTTTAATATGCACTCAGTCCGCACGTACTAATAATGGATCCAACCGAATTCGCTAGAAGTTTGCTACGAATCCGGAACCGAATCTGAGGGTGCGTTCCGAGTTTCGCACGAAGCGCATGATGCATCACTCAGTGAGAAATGACAATGGAATCGACATCGAATCGATGTCGATTCGACGTCGAAATCATCGAATTGACGTCGAAATCATCGAATTGACGTCGAATCGACGTCGATTCGACATCGATTTCATTGTCATTTCTCACTGGGCATTTGTCCTTGTTGTGCATCAAATAATAAAGAAGGATAAAACGATATATCTGGGATCTGGGTTCGACTTTTACCAGATCGAGAGATTCGGATATCTTAGGAAATTCGAATCTCCGGATAACCCAAATTTGAAACATCGCGCATTTATTCGTAATTCGGATAAACGGATATCCGAATAGCTTTAAATCTGAACTATTCTTGAGTGTCTACATACGAGGACAGATATGCCTGACCATATACATATATAGTTGCATGCCTTTTCATATTTTCTCATGCCTTTTCCGTGTGCGACTTCATATAGTCAGATATTATTTCTGTTCCCATGTGTACAAGAACTTTTATCTTAACCTTAAAATTATCATTGCTATAAACTTACCGGTTTCATGATAACAGCGTCAATATAAGCAGCGCAGCTTAATATCACACGTTAATTTCGTCTGTTTTTTTTTTATTCCCTGGATTTCCTATTGATAGATTACGAATCGACACGGTACATCAGCTGTCGCGACATTAACGAATTGCTATAAATTGCGTAATAGTTGATAGCAATTTGCACGTATGCACTGGTTTGCACTTTCAACAACTCGTTCGGTGATATAAGGGTGCCGTCATATACAGCCCGTAATCCGTAATCCCCATCGGATCAATCGGATGTCCACAAAAGTTACTAGGGATTGCGTCTGTAACGTTACATGTGTTTTACCTCTATTCTCTTCTGTATCCTATATGGAGCCGTAATTTTATGAAATTTCCGTAAAACTAATTATTACAAGTAATGTTTTTCCTAATTTTATCTATTTGACTAAATTTAACGATTTAATTTTAATTTTAATTTATTTAATTTAGTTTATTGCAAAGCTATATGAAAAAGACTACATCAGAGTAACAGAGTAAGACATAAAATGAAATGTTTATAGAAATAAAATATGATATAATAGAATATAGTTAACATAAACATAAATACAATAGACAATAGTAGCTTGCAAATGGTTAGGCGTCAGCAAAATTGCTGTTACAAAGCCTACCAGCAACAAAACCACTGTTATTCATTAAAACTGTTATTAATTAAAACTTTTGTTATAATTATAATATATTCTGTAGTTTTCTTATAAAATAAAATAAAAATAAACAATATAACTTGTTAAATAAGAAATATTATCATGTACACGTCCACATTTTGCGGTTCCATGGGACACAAGGAGTATGTAAGCACGCAAAATGCAATCATGCACTCCGACGTCAAATAAAAATAAACGTGCCATAACCTACCTCTAATGTATAAATAGTGATTAATTTGTTTGACAACAATTTTGAAATTAGAAGTGCATAATAAATCTTTGATATATGTTATTAGTGATGATGCAAATGTTGAAAAATTCAGTGGTTCCTTCATTTAATCAAAGAAAACTAACAATAGAGTGATTCGCATGTTTACAATTTATTTAAAATTAAAGGGGCTGGAAATATATATAACTATAAATATATATAAATATATATAACAATAAATATATATAACAATATAAATATATATAACAATAAATATATATAACAATATAAATATATATAACAATATGTAGAAATTATCGTGAATATAACAAATGATCTGTTTTCTGTTCTTGCACTAGACTGCACTAGAACTCTCTTCTCACGTAATTGCGGATTACGTGAGAAATATCTGCCGTACATACGCAATCCCTAGTAATTTTTGCGTACATCCGATACATATTACGGATTATGGGCTGCATGTGACGGCATCCTAATATTTAAACGAGAGTCTCGCGAAATCAAAATAGAGGGCCGGGGTGCGCAACAGAGAGAAAGCACGTACAGCCGGTCATAGACAGATTGCAATCAATGTTGTTAGGTATGCCGCCTTTTTAGCGCATGCGCACTACAGTACTAGTGACTTCTAGAGAAATCCAGTAATGTAAAGGATGAAAAGCGCGGGGCCGCGGGTTAAACTGTTCGTGGTTAAGCGCGAGAATCGGAGAAAAGACATATACATTATGTGTAATTTATTTCGCGAAAACAAAGAATCGAGAAGCACTAGACGAGTAAGATATAATATGTAGAGGATGAGTATAGATTTGGCGGGATTTGGCAACATATGTAAGTTAAGTAATCTACACTGTGAATCACATATTGCCATAGTAGTGCGCAAGCGCTAAAAAGGCGGCATACCTAACAACACTGATTGCAACACCTTTTTTTCGATGGGTTTCGGAATGCAGCCTATTCACGGAGCGATTGGTTCTTATTTGTGGATCAATAGGCCTGTTCTTTTTGGCTGAACTTTTACACCAGTTCATATCTTTCTTCCTTTTCTCTGTAGGAGGAAAGAAGAGGAAGAAAGATGAATTGGTGCAAAAGTTCAGCCAAAAAGAACAGGCCTCATGACTGCATTTACACGGCACTGGTAAACAGGCATCAACACTGGCTTTAATTAAAACGGTTTTACCCCTACAGTACAAAAGTTGCAACAATAATGCTGCAACATTGCAGCAATATCGCATGTTGCAGCAATATTGCAGCATTATTGCAGCCATATTGCTGCAAATTCTGTGCTGTATGGGTAGTAAAAACCGTTTTAATTAAAACCAGTGTTGATGCCTGTTTACACAATCAGGCGTATTTTACTTGTATGATGCTGTATGAGACGAAATATCTTTTGTCTTAACCTTCTAAAGTTTGTCTTAACGTCTAAAGTTGGTAACATTAAATTTTGATACTTAAAACCGATTTATATCGTTTACACTGCTTTTTTAAAACGATTTAGTAACGCCAAACCTGTTTCAGAAGAGGTTTGGATTCACTAAAACGATTTTAATAACATCGGTATTAAGAAATGTTTACAGGCCATCTAACATCGGTTTTAATTAAAACGGTTTTTACTAAAACGTAGTCTAGCTATGAATAAGAACCAATCGCTTGGTGAATAGGCTGTATTCCGAAACCCATCGAAAAAAGTGTTGCAACCTTTCTGTGATCGGCTGTATATGTAGATAAAGATGCAAACCCATGCAGCGGAATAGCGACCATATGAAGTTGCACGTGGAACGAGAGCGGAACCAATCACAAGCGTTTCGTATTTCTCAACAATTTTTAGAAGAATAGCTTTTGCGCACGCAGCTGCGTAATATACGCACACATCTGTGTGTTAATATATGCATGTGCACATGCTGTGTATACACATATCTACTAATTATCTATGACAGTTTTGTCCAATTTGAGCTTCGGAGTCAAAACGCAAATCTACATAAAAAAATACAATGTGAGTAAGGAGTATGTGATTTTAGGAGTATAATACTTATGAAGTGTTGATAAGCGTCACTTAGATGCGTATTAACACTTTCCAGTCACCAAAATCTTACCCACATTGAATTTTTTTGCGTCGATGGCTTTTTATTTTGGCTCCAGAGCTCAAATTGGATAGGCCTGGTCTATGTGATATTAGGTTCTAATATCACATAGACAATCAGAGACTCAAAAAGAAAGAGGAAACTTTGTTTCGAACAGGGAAATATTAAACCATCGAGAGAAAGATAATTTCGATGCATCTCTTCCCGTAGTCGAGAACAGAATACACATATTCCATCACTTTTGTTGCGTTGAAACGTGAACCCTCAATACCCATATAGCGTAATGAGCGCTCTGCGGACTTTGCGCAACCAATCACAAGTCATTATTTCATCAGGGTGACAGCCCTTCTACAATAAGCCGCAAGTCAGAACATCAGAAGTCTTAACCTGTCTTAACCAAATCGTTCAAGTTAGCTATTGGCCAACTTCACCGATTATGACTCAAAATAGCTTAGAACTTCTGACTTGCGGCTTATTGTAGAAGGGCTGTCAAAATCACATTAAAACTAATTTCATAAGATTTTCACATCTTTAATCAATATTTCTAATAAGAAACGCATTTAATTTAGTATTTAAGTATATGATGATAAAAAACGAATAATAAAATAATATTTAAAAGATTATGTACCGTAACGAAAACTGCGAACCGTTTGTGATTGGTTCTGCTGTCGTTCCGCGTTACGCTATTCCGCTGCATGGGTTTGCACCCTAAGTGCACTGCGCACTCCCTCTATTCGAGTCTATTTTAGCTATGGAGGATAGAAACCAGGGGTGCGTTCGTTTATGCCGCAGATGTCGTTCGTTTATTCTACCTGCGAAGGCGACTGCAACGCAGTTTGTCATTCGTTTACGCAGGGATGTATACCATCTCAAATACTATCAACTTTACAGAAAAACTGCAAGAGACAAAAATTATTTATTTTCTTCTCATAGAGCTCTAAGAATGTTTTTAGAATTTTTCAGAATTTTTTAAAACCGTATATTCTCATGTTGATAAAAATGAGAAAATGCAGTACTAAAAAGTTGATAAAAAATTCTGAAGAAATTCGTAGTTCTATGAGAATAAACAATTTTCATCTCTTGCAGTTTTTCTGTAAATTTCATAGTATTTGAGTAAAAAATTATTGAAGGCCAATTTTCGGCAATTTTTAGCAATTAGTATCTTGTTAACTATTGCGAAAATTGCAAAATAATAAAGGACTTTCCGTTTCAGCTTAATCCGCTCTATATGTCCACGAACTCCGTCAGAACAATTATCGGACACCGTATATATAATTATATATAGAATATGTCCATTTATTTACAAATATTTATACACAAATATATAAATTATATATAGTTTTATATAATTTTATATAGTGATATATAAAATATTTTTTCCCGGGAATTCATATTTACATTGTCTTTCAAATAAAGGATCAACCTAAAATTTCTTTTTTTATATTTTCTTTTTAAATTTGTACATTCATTAATGCATACCAGGGTTGGTAAAGATTAATGTCTTTTTTTATGAATAAAACATATTGCGTTTCTTCTTAAATATGTTTTTATATAATGCTTTAAATATGTTTTAAACAATACTATAAAAAAACATGTTTAAAACACGTTTAAAACATGTTTTTTACCAACCATGATGCTATATTAGTCTATTTTGCCGTAGTTTCGCATTATTTTTGTTATATCACATCAACTTGACAGGTCCAATCGTAATACCGTTTTTGATATGACATTTTGGACTTTATATATCACTTTACACAACACAATTAATATAATTACCGTCAACAATTTATCGCTGCTATTGCTGCTAACCCATTTATATCAGCGTTATTCGAGGTTAGTGACATATGAAATCATGTGACTCGTTTGTCGCTGAATATTAGAGTTCCTCTAGTAAGAATTCAAACATAAGACCAGAAGGACGCCATTACCAGGTGTCGAGTACCGGCCGGAAACAGCACAATTTCACCATGGTTGACGGCTGATAGTCCGATTTCGCATTTGACTTTCAAGCCTCATAACTCGAAAAGTACTTAATGAAAAAATATTTTATTATAGTGTTTTGAAAAGCTCTCGAGGTAAGCTACAAGAATATGTAATAAAAAATGGAGGGTTCCGTTTAAAATATTTAACGTGACCCTCATCTGATCTTGACAACGCCACCCAAGGTCAAACCAATGATACCATCTTATGTCTCCTTCAAAACCATACAACTTTTGTCTGAAACATTTTCTTGTAAAATGCAAGGGAACGGAAATATTTGAGG